TCTCTCTCTCTCTCTCTCTCTCTCTCTCTCGCTTTCCCTCTCTCTCTCTCTTGTTCTCCCTCCCTCTCTCTCTATCTTGTTCTCCCTGCCAATTCTCCACGTCTCGTTTCGGACAATGAAACTGCTGATGCTCATGACACGCTGTGGCAGCGGCAAGAGGGATGTGATCTCCCCACCTGCGCCTATGTCTACATCTCCTCCATCTCCATCTGCTGGATCTGCACCTCCCTCGTCAGCGACTGCCTTCACCGAGAGGGCATCATCCCGGTGCTACGATGCTGACGATGCAGCCAGCTTTGCGAAGCGGGTTGCTCTCGTGGGGTCCAGTGGGGGTGGAGCTGCGGCTCAAGGGTGAGGCCCGAAATCACACAGTGGGTATGATGTATAGTAATTCGTTACGAAACAAAATGAGCTGCGGCTCTTGGAGAAGTGATACAGAATATTGCCATCACATCCCGCGAAATTGTTGCTGACGAAAACCGCAGTTGTGCCGCACTTGTGGCAACAATAGCAGCAGCAGCAGCAGCAGCAGCAGCAGCAGCAGCAGCAGCAGAAACGGGTAGAGCGCATCAAGCAATAAAACAACCAGAGCAAACAACAACAGCAATATCAACGAAAGCGGTGTGTTTGTGTGGTCGCATTGTCTCATCAAATCCAGGCAGTTCGACGGCCCGTCGCTTCTGCGGCTGGCCAAGAAGGAAGTAGAGAGAGCTGGCATCCAACTTGCGGCGGTGCAGTTCGTTGCTTGCGCGGAGCCCCTCGATCTCGCTAAACCTAGCTCTGCGGCAACGCTATGGGTGGCCGGGACGGGCGAAGGCGATGAAGCTTTCGTCGTTGCAGCAGAAGGCCAGTAAATGTTGTGTTTCGTGTGTAGAAGCCATCTCGCAGAAAAAATGATTCGGCTTCAAATAGAACGGCCTGGAAATGAGCTCAACCCACGACAGTAACAGCAGTATCAGCAGCAGGTAATAACTTTCTGGACAAGCTCAGCGACTGTCTTTTGTTAGACTGTTAAGAAGAAGCTTCACAGTGCGTTGACGTGCGCTTCGTTAGTCTCAAGTTGTCCCTCGTTATGTAGGCACAGCTCTTCCTTTCCTTCTTGAGCGTGCCTTTTTTCACGCGCCGAATCAAACGTTGTAGCCATGGCCATCTTCAAGGGCCATGGCGCTCTTTACGTCTTTTTGATACGCTCGAGAGTGATTTTGTGTCTTGTGCCACTCGGTGAAGCCAAAGCTTACAGCGCGGCCGTGTGTTGGGAATTCCTTTTAGTACACCGTGGTTTTGTGCCCCTCGTTCTTCGTCCAAGTCTACTCGATTTCGTCGTGGTCGTGTTATGTGTATCTGTTCACCCCTCTCTATTCCTGTTCGTGTCTATCACTCCCGCCATCTGTAGGGACCCTGTTGGATGTCAACATGGCTGCAAGAAAGGAGGATGTCAAGATTGCAGCAGCCTTGCGGGAAGGCTGCGGTCGACAGGACGACGCTCCCAAACAATCGCCCCGCGGTGCCAATGCAGCAACCTCGCCAAAGATGCTACCGTTGCACGGGCTGGTGGCGATATCGTGCGACGTCCACGGTGTCAACAGGTGCGGCGGATTGGGGTGTGTGTGCTCATAGTCGTGCATGCCGTCGTCGTTAGACCATTAACCTCGCATCCCCAAAAGGCCGGGACGGAGCACGCCAGGTTCTCACCGGACTAGGCCCTCACATCACCAAGCGCGAAGCGCCATGAGGTATTGGGCGAGTCGTATGAAGGGTGCGCTCCGTCCTGCTACGGGTGTTCGACAACTTGTGCTTACTTGCTTGCGTATGGATGACAGCTGCGTATCACTGAATTTATTTTCTGGTGCTTTCGCTTCCAAAGACAGTTACAAGCACTGTCAACTGCCTCGAGGGTGCTTGGTCAACTTTTCATAACGTGGTGCGATTATCCCCTTTGCGCGGAGTGAGGGTTCTGGACCCCACGACATTATCTACTCGACCACCATTACGGTTACACACAAAAAAAAACAGAGGCAAAAAAAAACGGCCACCTGATTGCCGGGATCACGAGGTGAATTGGCTTGTTTTACAACGTCGTTGCCAGCGATGAAAAACCAACCTCGATGGCAAACACCAAGGGCGGGTGCGGCGCATTGGGGGTGGGGATTCTCCGTCGTTTTCTTGTTGGTAAGGATTTTCGGAGAAGTTGGTGGTTGTTGATATCTTGACAGAATGCTCGTGCAGCGGCTTCGAAATATCCACGACAAATTAACTAGCGTAATGACATCCGGTTGTTTTAGAAACAGATCAACCTTCATCTCAGCAGCGAGGAACCATTTTTGTGCGTGCCACTGTATGCTCGATCTCGGTTTTCATGTCCGTGACACTCGTAACGTGTTTTGATACGTATGTCGAATCTTTTTATGGCAGCCACGCCTTCACGGCGGCCAGGGGTTGCCGAGCGCCAGTGGTAGGCACTGGAGGCACCTCGTTGGGATCGGCGTTGGCCATGGGCTGCCTTCTGGTTGGGTCCAGCGGGGGCTCTGTTGCGACAACGAACAAGGTAGGTGTTATGTATTTGGTCGGTTGCTCTTGTTGATGGTGCACCGCGTTGGTTGGTTGAACGGTGCAACTAGGTTATTTGATTGGACGATCGAGGCGGGTAAGTTTTTTATGCATCAGGTCATTGGTTCACCCATAAACAAGAAGTTTCGATGGGTAATACTCATGAACGTACCTCCAACTACTGTTGACTGCGCAGTCTACCCGAATTTGATAAGTAGGCATTGACTCCGGAGGCAATTGTGGGGCTAACCCTTGTGTGTGTATGTTGACATGGTGGCACGACCAACCAATCGCGTCGTCATGTTTGTGTGTTTTCGTTGTTCATTGACGGTGCCTTTCTTTCCCTCTCTTCGCATACCTCCCTCGTCGGCGTCAAATGAATGCATGCCGTGCGACCACATCGAAACAGTCGAAGGTTGTTTCCTATGCCGCCGGCTTGGCGGGACACTGGCGACTCCGATACGACTCCGCCAAGGAGCTGATGCAACCGCTCGCACCCGCCGCCACCTTCGCCGGATGTCTTCCTGTCCAAATCGGGTACGTTTCTGGCTGCAGCGGGAGTAGTTCATGAAAAAGCGTGCACAATTGAAGGTGTTTTCCTGGAGGCCACATCAGATATTTCGTAAGATCGAAATAGTTAGGTCGGGGACAACAGCGGCAACAGCAGCAAACGCAGCAGCGATACATGGTTGTTTCATGATGTACAAACTGTCGTGGTTATGAACGAAGCTCAGAAAAGAATGAAAAGGAAATGAAACGGTTCGCGAAGGAGATATAGTCTCACCCTCACCTTTTTCAAACTCACATTTTTCCAAAATGTAAACGAGCTTTCTGTCTTGGTTCTGAATGCCGAATTCCAATGTCTAATTGCGTCGCACAATTAGAAAAACATCAATTTTATCAAGTCCTTAACCAAACATGGGCATCACAACAGGATGGTACATGTAAAAATCGTCTGTTGTTGGAAGTTGTCAAAAAACACACCCCCGATGCTTCTTATCTGCGTGCATGATATTTCATTTTAGAGTGACTGTCGCGGTTGCCCTCGGGTCAGTTCCGACCACGGGCGACCTGTTGGATGGCGCCGTGTTGGCGGCCCCGTGGATGATTCGACTTGAGGGAGCCATCCCCGTGGTGGCGGCGGCGGTGGCGGCGAGACAAGCTAGCACGCTCGGAGACATGGCCACAGCAGCAGGTGCGCAGAATAAATCTTGTGTGCTTGTTATCTTATCCAGTGTTAACCACTACAATGAGGCACTGCTTTTCTTCTTTGCCATGACCTCCCCGCTGTCTGTACAGGGGTTATTGCTGGCTCGTTATGCATGGAGAACACGCTGGCCGCCCTCGCTGCAGGAACACTGGCAGGTGGAGTCCGCCTTCTTCGAAACCAGTTGCCTTGTTTTGGGGGGGGGATTAGAACGCTCCTAGATTGACCTTCATTTGTCTTCACGAAACACTACATTTCCTCCGAGATTTCCACGAACTCCACGGCCTCCCTAGATATTGGGACTCAACAGCCGGGTGGTTAGAGTGAAGTGATCCTGTTTCCGTAAGTGGGATGAGGTCGTTGGTTTCCGCGTCCTGCCCAACTTGTATCGCGAAAAAGGTTACCTCTGCTCCAAGATGACGGGGCAAGCCTTGGATTTTGGGGTCCCCGCCACTGCTCTTTCGCTGTATGCTACTGCCGCATCGGGCATCCTCTCTGGCGCGATGGTGTTGTCCGTTCTGCCGTTTCTGAAGTAAGTTGGTGACGGCCGTCCGCACCACGTTTCTTGACAGGGCGCAACGAAATGTTTTCCTGCACTAAGCCGAATTCGTGATACTCAGCGACGTTTTCAAGTTCTTTGCGTTCTTGACCTCCATCGTAACAATGTTGACAGTTCGATCGTCTTGCTGTTTCACTGCCTCTAGATACATTATGTTCGTCAAAGGTGCTGTGGCAGTGCACCAAGACGCAAGAGGTGTGGTCTGGTTGGAAAGCTCATGTGGCGGCCGGCTTTGGTCTGGTTGCCCTTGCTGCGGCGATTCCGTAGACCAATCATAGACCTCTCCGGGTCTACAGCACCCAACGAACAGCATTTTCAGTCCCTGCACGTATCAATCACCACGAACCGTCAGCGGTTGTACGCCATTCACGCCCGCCCCTCACGCGAGACTTGCGTTTCTCGCAGATTACTTGGGGCGATAGCTACCTCCACGGATGCGTTTCTCGTCAGGCTGCAAACCACATGGATACAGGCGCGTTGCTTTGTACACATCCTGATTGTTTGGCTAAATAGCTGGATGATAGAGTTCTTGAAACAGGAAGCCTCCATTCAATGGGCTAATGATTTTCAATAGGTCGCGATCCGTGGGTGTACGGACCAACATGTTTTTCGGCTTTCTGTGGGTTCCACCAGAGCCGAAAAAACCAACTGATCTTATTGTTCAACGACGAAACGAAGGAATGTGCTACAAATCTCCATGCATATGGGTAAGGAAGGTTACCTGCTATCAAGATCGGGCTGTTTGAATGAGCGGACATCTACAGAGAGAGTGAGCGAGAGTGGGGGGGGGG